GAACCGGGATTCGAACCCACAAACATAGGTTTCTGGCGTGCCCAAGGGACGCAACTCTGCACAGCGAATCGCGGCGCCTTAGACGACTGGGCCACCCGTGCCCCCACTCCCGGTTTAAAGATATGCTGACGATGTATCAGTTGATAGTTAGGGTAAATGTTTTCCTGTTTAAGTAGTGTGTGATTCTCTTTATTTAGCTGTGAGAACGCGTCACCGACGATTAATGGCTCATGATATTTTCATGATCCTAATCCGTTCAGATAAATGTCAAGTGTGTTGCGTAAGAAAACTCATGCAGAGATAATCCTCTGGATCATCTGTTACTTTATAGCTTCCTAGCATTGGGCTTAGTCCGTCACGCCACTATTGGTATCAGATAACTATCAGGAGGGACACATTAGGAGCTGTTGCCGATAATTTTCGTAACACTACGTGTTGGTACGCGGCAATACATGTATAATACAGGTCGGTACACACTAATACAGATGTTACATATTGTATGTCCTCTTGATGGGAGTCATGTACACTGTACGTCGGTACACTACAATAGCGACTCACCAGTTGTAAATAGCGATGAAAATGTCAGGTGCTTCTGTATTTTCACGTAAATAGTTGATCCTTTTACGGACGCTTCGATAACTATCTATTTCGTCACCATCAACAGTAAATGGCATTAAGTCTTCATGCCTCAGAAACCTGTTCATACACGGGCAATATTTGTGAAGGCCAATTGTGATGACTACCCTCCTTGTTTTTGCGGGACTATTGCTAAAAGTGGCGTAAAACCAAACCAACTGACTAACTGTAAATGTATATGTCTTTGGTTACTTACCGTGTTCTACATTGCAGTTGACCTATTTACAGACCGCCGTCATATGCCGGGAATTTTGCTGAGTGCGGCATTAAACAACAAACAAACAAAACAAATCTCCCCTCGCGAGGTTAACATTCGACAGGATATATTAGTGACACCAGGTGAAATCACTGATTAATCTCACCTCAAGAGGTACATTTTCGTCAGGATATATGGGTGACATCAGGATATCAGTGATAAATCTCACTTCGTGGAGCAAACCTGTGACAAAATTACCCCTTCCAAAGCAACGGTTGAACTTGTATATATGAAACATAACAATCACACATATATATGATTTGGTCAGGCAAACCTAAGCTTCAATCAACACGACAAATCCAAACTTATTTTCTAATTGTTCTCTGGGTCTCAGTTATTCTATATTCAATTACAAACCCTCTCAAAACTGTTAAAAAGGGGACACGTTCTGTATAGCACATGCGATGGGACTGTGTGTAATTGATCTATCTAATCATACCGTTACAAAAGAACTTGTGGTTCAGTATAGGGCAACGAATCTGTTCAATGTTTTCCCAATTATTATGAGGGGAAACATTCTATTTTTCCTTACCTGTTTCAAGACATATCTATGCATCTACACAATTGATTCTGCTGCACAGAACTCTCAAATGCTAAAACATAGAGATGCCTCCATTCTACGAAAGGTGACTGAAAAGTTCTGAGCTTAATTAGGAAGAAATGTATAGTACAACATTAACTGCATTTTGACCAAATACATATATTTTTGCATGCATTAAAGTGACTAGGTGATATCTATTGATGAAAATTGGCAAGAACCCTGTCACCAAGCATCGCCAACTGAAATGGCCAACTACAACAGTCATCCGTGTGGCCATGGTGTCAACTATAAGGGAAGGTGTTCCTTCCTGACAGGTGAACAACGGAGTTCAAGAGGGGAAGAGAGAGATTCGACTAAGATTCAAGATGACGAAGATCCTCATCTGCCACCACTAAGGAGAAGGTACAATACATGATATGATTATGTCATCACATGCCACATACATTTAACCAATACAGTAGGCATATACCGAGAAAATTCTGAGTAATGTACTGTGCCCGACTGGGTTCAAATACTTCTGATCAGAAACGCTCCAGGTTCACAATATCCCGTGAGAATTCACGTTACTTTGAAGCAGGCCCAACTGATTTTGGTGAGCGATTTGCAACTGTGGATTGATATTGGGTTCATAACATTACTATCAGCGAGGACCTATCAAGGCTTAACGTTGCAGAAAACATTAAAGGTGCAGTATTCTGCCAGGACAATGCAACTTACAAGGCTCCGCAATGCATGACTGTGATTTTGAACTCTTTGAACATTCTCCACATTTGACACCTTCGGATTTCCAAACAGCCAAACCAAACAATTTTGTACTTCGGGTTTGAAGATTCAACAGAAATTGCAAGATGATAATGTTGATGATCCCAAACAAGTATCAGTGTCCACCGTATCAGCAAATATAATAATTTAGTGTATGTGAACGTCAAACGTTGTCGATAAAAAGCCCACTGGAGCATATTCACATTGGCTAATTTGCGAAAAATTGTGAATGGAATTATCAAATTCTTGGCCTTTTTAAATAAGCCGAATATGCAAAAGAGCTAGAATGTGTTTTGGGAGTGTACAGTTTTAGATCAACACAGGTGTTATATTTTGGAACATATGTTTTGTAAACATGGGGCGTTCTTTTGTTGGTCTACCTCTTGTAATATAAAAGATGCTAATTAATTTGAAAGGGGGTCTTGGAGTGCGTTTGGTTTAACGACGCTTTGACCTTCCATGGCCTGTTAAACTGATGTGATGCATGTCCGGCTAATGGCAACAACAACACCTAATATGACGACCATTAAAGGAACATCATCGAATGTTACAGGATATCGCATCGGTGATATCGTTTATGTAGGTTAGAAAGGAAAGAGTGTTAAACACGTCCAAAAATGCATAATGCTAAGACTGCAATAGAATCTACAGTGGCTAATCGAACTCCCAGAAATCTAGCACATAAATGAATACTTTATTATTTTCATATAAATGATAAGGCGTCACTATTTTGCTGACATTTGCACAATTAAACAAACAGGTTAGTCTTTTATTTTCTGACCAGTCGTTGTACTGGTGGTTGCACTCCTGGGCTGGGCTGTCCGTCCACGATACTTTAGAATAGGCTTTTGCTGAAGTAGCTCATAGTGATTTTGTTTTTCTTCCATATAAACCATATTAATGCAAGGAATACCACAAAGAATAAAGGGGTGATGGGTTGAAATGGGGTAAAACATCGCGTTCAAGATTATTGCACTTGTATAGCGATGTCCATGCACGTGTTTGAGTGTCTGTGTGACTGCCTTTTCCAGATTGGACTAATGGCGATTTTATGGTGCTTCATTAACGTGCTAACCTTCAATGTTGTTATTGGTGCCCTTCAGTAGTTCCTTCAGTTATGACAGACATTATGACTGTGTAGACACGTTTTATGCTGAAAATAGGTGTTTTAAAAAGGTAAAGGTAACTGTAAAAAAATAATTTTTCACGCAGTATGCGATTTTCTTGTATTTGTAGATATTTCTCATGTATTTATAATCATTTTTGACACCTCAAACATTGTACATATCTGATTGTTGTCAGTGTTGTCAGTGTTACCGTTGAATACCGTTGTTCAGCGCATTATTTTGGTATCTGCATCTTCCGTATTGATTTAGTAGTTAACTTGCTACTCGGGTTTTTAGGAAACACATTATGGTTACTTCTCCAGGTGACTATGCTTGTCGTATAGAGGCGACTAACGGGATCGGGTGGTAAGGCTCACTGACTTGATTGATGCATGTCAATTGCGTGGATCGATGCTCATGATGCCAATCAATAGGTTGTCTGGTCCAGACTCGATGGTTTACAGACTGATGTCATACAGCTGGAATAGTGCTGGGTGCGGCGCTAAACAACAAACAAACAAACAAACTTCACCAGGCTATTGCATTCCCTTGGCCGACAAGGACACGTTGTCCTCTACGACGTGGCGCATTCGTATAAAACCCTTGACAAAATTATGTGTCTTTACCTCCATTTGCTCGGATTTAAAATACATCTGTGATCATTGTCAGTGTAATGTTTTTGTAATCTTTTTTATTGTCGTCTATTGATAAAACTAGGTGATAGGAATAAACCTGTGAATCTATTACCACGTTTTCAAGATTACTTTGTTCTTGTTTAATGGTGAGAATGGAGATAAATGCACAATGCTTGGCTGAAGGGGCCTACACAGCGAAGTATATGCAACCAATGCTGTCTGTATATGCCTGACAAACACTGTGTTTACGTTAAATCCTAATAATTTGGAACTTCAAAGGGACCGATGGACAGTTTTGGAATCGTTCTACGGATCTGTCAAGCTGTTGGATCTGAAAGTGACATACATATATGTCAGAGTAATCATGCTGACTAGTCAACATACATCTACGGTTTTCATTTAAATCGCTGATCAAATATCCCTTTATATAATACATGGTGACCTATAGTTCGAGGACGATAGCTCAAAGTGGCGTAAGTCCCGTGAAGATTCCGGGGTAGAATAGGTCTTCAGCAACCCATGCTTGCCGTAAAAGGCGACTATGCTTGTCGTAAAAGGCGACTAACGGGATCGGGTGGTCAGACTCGCTGACTTGGTTGATACATGTCATCAATCCCAATTACGTGGATCGATGCTCATGATGGCGTTAAACAAGAAACAAACAAAGTGGCGTAAAACTATACTCACTCACTCGTATTCATATATCTTCTTCCGTTATGATTTTCCTTAAGATATTAATTAACCAAAGGCAAACGACAAGTGTATATTGTGACAAAAACATGTAGAACGGGTACATTATAAAATACTAATAACACAAACGAAGAGGTACTTAATGGAAAGCACTTTGTCAAATAAAATGCACACACAGGCAATCAACATTTAATCATTCAATTTTATTGTTCAGTATATGACATAATTTGTTTTACATATGTGATAGCAATCTAAATCTAGTTTAGTAGTTGTGATGTGGAATAATATTATTTTATGTTCCGTCAATTCAAAAGTAATTACGTGTGAGAGAGATTTATAATTGTTTCGTAATATTTCTAGTATATACAGTGTATGTATCTCCATGTATGAACTCATTCAGTCTAACGGGAACTCGGTGAATCTCAAGATTTAGACTGTGCATCAAAGTAAGTATTTGAATCATTTCTATAATACATGTAAACACATTGTTTAAGCATAATGCAGTTGCTATATTTAACTATCATCATGGACATACACATGTATCTGCATTTTTATTTCCAGCACAAAAAGCAGTTAATCCATATTAACATTGTACAACACACGTATGTCTTAGGATGATGCATATGTTTGCAGTGTTTGTTCGTTTGTTTGTTTTATGAGAGATGCGTGTCTGGTTGTCAAGGGCTCCTGTCAAGGATTGGTCAGGTGAGGTGAAATGGGGTTTATCGTCGCGTTCAAGATTATTACACAAATAAAACGACGTGCATGCGCGCGCGAGCAGTCCTTGTTTTAGCCCCTTATTACTAAGCGCTAGGCATGGTAACAACAAGTTCTATAATTTAACGTTTTTTGGTATGAAAAGGGCGGGGATCGAACCCACAACATTTTGCTCTCCGGGCAGATGATCTATACATTAGACCACAGAGGCGGTGTTAAGAATTAGTGTTTGTTGACTTAGCAATGTCCCAGTTATATAAAAGCGACCAGTACATTATCTAATCTGGACCCGATATTCCAGTGATTGATATTGTGAGCAACGTTCCACGACGCCGGGGAAGGTGCCACTCCGTCAACCAAATCAACGAGCCAAATCAACTCCCTCCCGATGAAGTCGCCTCTTACGACCAACATAGGTCAACATGGACTTATTCTTACCCTGTATACGACGGGGGGATTGAGGGTATAAACTGTACAAAGCTTGTGTCTCGTGTGTGAATACGTTGGGCTTAATGACGCTTTGAATCGTTTTTCGTTTGAGCACGACGTGTTTGCTTAATGAAAACTGACGCAGATCCCAGATGTTTAACGATGTGGTGAAATAAACGATCGCGAATATGGGATTACAGTGAGAGAGATTTCAGTCTATGATGATCGAAACCTGGTAGGCATATGGGATCACTCTGCCAAGCTAATTGTGGTTGATAACACGGCGAGGTAACACATGCGTGAGCATATTGTCCAAACACTGAAGACGTTGTGTACTCTATCGTTTACATCTGCCCCAGAATCATGTAAGTTAAATTTGTTTTGTAGATGAGAAGCTTCATAGTTGCTCTCCTGCTGCTTGGGGTTGCAGTTAAGCCTACTGAAGGTATTTGGAAGCTACATTTTCAGGATTCTGAAGATATTTGGGCCACAGCTGCTACATAGTAACTTACGTACTTATCAATGTCTGAGAATGTCTATCCAAGACTTTGAACGCCTGCCAAAGGCTATTTTTGTCAATCCATTTGCAATTGTACATTTCGTCACATTCATATGCCTCCAATTATGGCCATGCTGCCAGGAAGGTTGATCGTATCCACGAATCTTTCACATATCACTAGAATTTGAAATAAATATTTAATTTGAACTTGTGTACGACATACTTAGGAGAACAAACGCTGAATTCAATGTTGCAGGTACATGTCAAAGTTTTAAACACTTGTAAATAATTTTGTAATACTAAACTATGTTAGGCAATTTCTCTTTTAGAATATAGCTTTGCCTTAATGACGCACTTATATAAATAAAAACTTGTTTTCGACGCTATTTGGTTTAAATAATGCCGATGCGACATTATATGTTAACTCACAGTTATTACAAATTGAAGTGTCGTCTCAATAAAAGTAGGTTGCATAACATTTTGATTGATGTGATTGTTACAATTTGATACAAAAGCTGACACTACCCTTCAACTTAAAGCAACGTTAGATGCGATAAGCAGCAGTGAGCGTGGTGTTCAAGATGTTGACTCGAATGGAGATGGGAAGCTTGATATGGCCGAACTGAAAGCAGAGTACGGACAACTGGGCGCTCGTGAACTCATGCACTTTGCTGATTCAAATGGTAGGTTGTTTGTGTGTACATACTGTCATTGGATCCATCTACGCTTTATATTAAGAGACGAGAATTGCGTCCGAAGACGATTTCTATGTACATTTCCGAATGAATTATATGTATCAAGTGACTGACAAGGGTTCTCAATAGGTGACCACGTTCTTGAGGCTGAAGAGATTGTGGCATTAGAGCAATACGCAGACTCCCACACATAAGGTAAACATTAAGCATTTTGAATTGATGTCAGTGGTTTAAAAGACATACGAAATGCAACCATGTTCAATTATTAATATATTCTAGTTTGCTATTGCCTGGCTAATTGTAAGAGTAATGTCATTACGAACTACCGAAAATCACACAGTACATGTGTTACGAGATGATACAGTGTATGTATGTTATGGATAAATGTTTTTGTATGCACGCGCTAATAACATTGGTTGTTATTATGTTTTAACAGGGAAATGAAACAACAGTGAAACTCTCCGATCAACTGGAACGTAAAAATGAAATAAATCGTTTGCAATCGATTTGAGGTTTTATTATTTTTTGTTAATCATTAAAATTGATGTCAGTTCCAATCGTGTAAGAAAGTTGTGAGTGAATTTTGTTTAACACCGCTGTAATCAATATTCAAAGTCACATCACGGCTGTCTTTTGACCAGGCAAGCAATTGGGAGCGCAACGACACACGCGATCAAAGCCGACATTCAGAAAAAGTCACCGAATCTGACCACTCGATCCAATTTAATCCGTACTTGTGGTTAACGTGGTTTACTTGGATTCTACCCCCTGGAAATAGTTTATATATTGAAAGGTCTTACACTTACAAACATATACCAAATGCACGTGTATCGTGACCATTAAAGGGATTCCAGCTGCTGAGCTTGAAATCATTCATGTGATGAATGTTGTTGAATCACGGTTACCCGTTGTTTTATTATACAGCTTTTGAAATAAAAGCCTTGTATTTTGTATGACTTTGACATCGCTGATGGGACGTCTCAAACTGTCGAGGGAACGTTTTCGTGCGTTGTATGCTTTTGCGAAGAAACTGTGCTCGTTAGCTATTATAATAAGAATAAACCAATCTTTTAATTGATGTTGGTTTTAATAACGGTTACAAGTATAATTTATATCAACTTAAAAAGAAAATACCCTACCCTAAATGACATGTAAGGTGTGTGTTTTTTTCAACGTGTAGCAGAAAGAGGACAACCATTTATGCAGTTAATAAATACTTGAAACGAGCTTCTAAAGCTCTTGCTATGTCTCCTTAAGCTTACAAGCGACACATGTAGAGTTAATAAATTGCAGACGTGCAATTGTTGAAATGCATTCAGAAAATAAGTACATGTCACTAAGACCCATGAAGAAAAACCTTGAAACTGAACATGATTTAATACAAGCTATGGCAACTTTTGCAAACATTTGGATACAGAAACAAAACAAGATAAGTGATGAAAATAGGGCTGTGTTTTGTGAACGATCTGACATCCTTCGTTTCCGAAATCATTATCTTCGAAGAAGGATACAAGCTTGTTTTCCAAGATGAAACGTGGGTAAATGCCTCTCACACAGACATCAGTCAGTGGGTACCCAGTGGGGACTCTAAGGGATCTGGGAGAAAGTCTTTCCAGCCAAGGCCAAGGACAACAGGGACTACCACACAGAAATGAACGGCAAGGAATTTCTAGAGTGGGTAAAAAACAAATTGGTCCCTGCTTTGCCCGCCAAGTCCCTTATTATCATGGACAATGCACCATATCACAATATGCAGGATCCAGACAGCAACGCCGCGACGTCTAATAGCCTTTAAGGAGATATGGTGACGTGGTTGAAACGGGTGATTATTACCTTTCTCTCCAGGGCTACAAAACAAAAGGCTACAAAAGTCTATCAAATCATGAAATCTAACAAACCTGAGCGATCTGAACCCAATAGAATTGATATAGGGTATCGTCAAAGGTGACGCGTTGGACGATTGATCACAACGTTTAAATTGTGGGATGTTGAAAATTAATGCTAATAAATGAATCTCTTGGTCGGGTAACAGTGGAGACATGGCAGCGTTGCGTTACCATATTCGCCAACGAGATAGCGTCAAGATACTGGTCATGTGATGGACTTCAGCAAGCACCAGTCTCACCATCAGCAGTGACACAAGCAATTCCGACCTCGAGGGGTGTGACATGAGCGAGTCAGATTGCGATTAAAATTGTCATGACATGACCCCTCTTATCTTGTCATGTCCTGTACCGTTGTGTAGCACGGGTTTGCGGGTGTGACCACTATGGATGTCTACTTCTTAATTGTGAGGTACATATCTTACGGGATTTAAACTTACTCGTTCATGTGAATGACGAAGGAATAAGCATATATTCCGCAACATTGTGATGCACAATAAAGAAGTTGACATCCATAAATTCTCTCTCTTATCTCTGTTAATGGCTAGTGCATGCTAATCGTATGACCGTGAGCGAACTAGTATCATGGCGGGAACACCATTGGCTTCACTCATAGTACACCGGAGGGGAATAGAACCTTGGCACTAGTATCACGCCGGGAACACCATGGGCTTCACACGTAGTACACAGGAAGGGAGGAGAACCTTGGCACCAGTATCACGGCGGGAACACCATGGGCTTCACACATAGTACACAGGAAGGGAGGAGAACCTTGGCACCAGTATCACGGCGGGAACACCATGGGCTTCACACATAGTACACAGGAAGGGAGGAGAACCTTGGCACCAGTATCACGGCGGGAACACCATGGGCTTCAAACATAGTACACAGGAAGGGAGGAGAACCTTGGCACCAGTATCACGGCGGGAACACCATGGGCTTCACACATAGTACACTGGAGGGGAAGAGAACCTTGGCACTAGTATCACGCCGGGAACACCATGGGCTTCACACGTAGTACACAGGAAGGGAGGAGAACCTTGGCACCAGTATCACGGCGGGAACACCATGGGCTTCACACATAGTACACCGGAGGGGAATAGAACCTTGGCACTAGTATCACGCCGGGAACACCATGGGCTTCACACATAGTACACAGGAAGGGAGGAGAACCTTGGCACCAGTATCACAGCGGGAACACCATGGGCTTCACACATAGTACACCGGAGGGGAAGAGAACCTTGGCACCAGTATCACGGCGGGAACACCATGGGCTTCAAACATAGTACACAGGAAGGGAGGAGAACCTTGGCACCAGTATCACGGCGGGAACACCATGGGCTTCACACATAGTACACCGGAGGGGAAGAGAACCTTGGCACTAGTATCACGCCGGGAACACCATGGGCTTCACACATAGTACACTGGAGGGGAAGAGAACCTTGGCACCAGTATCACGGCGGGAACACCATGGGCTTCACACATAGTACACAGGAAGGGAGGAGAACCTTGGAACCAGTATCACAACGGGAACACCATGGGCTTCACACATAGTACACAGGAAGGGAATAGAGCCTTGGCACTAGTATCACGCCGGGAACACCATGGGCTTCACACATAGTACACCGGAGGGGAATAGAACCTTGGCCTTTGTATTGCTGCAAACTGTCCCGCACTTCTCGTACTTTCTACAAATTAACGAAAATACGATTTTCCCCCTTAATTCATACAAATGATAAGATGCCATTGTACGATACAAATAACAAGGACTAAATTTTCATAGAGACCGGTAAACGTGATATTCTTTGTTTGTTTGTTGTTTAACGCCGCACTCAGCAATATTCCAGCTATATGACGGCGGTCTGTAAATAATCGAGTCTGGACTAAAGTCAGCGAGCCTGACCACCCGATCCCGTTAGTCGCCTCTAACGACAAGCATAGTCGCCTTTTACGGCAAGCATGGGTTGCTGAAGACCTATTCTACCCCGGAATCTTTACGGGTCTTATAAAGTTAGTTGAGTGAGTGAGTGAATTCAAGTCTTACTATCGCATCGTCAATATTACAGCCACATACAATATAGCGATGATACAAGGATAATAAATACACAATATACATATAACAATGAACAACAAAACAACTACACTACCTGGATTTGTTTTTAAAAGTAGTATGCAAAGGTAAAATATATGACTATGCATAACAGAGGGCTATTGATCACCAACGACCAAAGCTATGACACTAGACTGGTGAGCATGGGGATATACGGTACCTGCGCGCGATTTTAGCCATCAATAAAAAATCGAAATATTCTACGTTTAAACAATGGAAGGAATAAAATACTCATGTACTGTGAATGATGTGGACTTTGTTGTACACTATCGTGGGGACAATACTTTTAACTACTTGAGCTCCGTTATAGGACACAGCCACTAACCATCTAAGTTACCAAGTAAACACTGCCAATATTATAATTATAACTATGCACATAGTTTCAACATTTATGAATTAGTTGATTTTCTTTTAAAAGGACAAATAGTTAAACGAGAGCTTATATTAATAAAAAGGTCATTTATGGATGAAACGTTGGGTCATTATATAGCCCAATACCGTCAGCTACAAACACGAGAGCGTCTTGTCTGTTGGCTGGTATGATATCTATCGATAGTTTTGCATCTGTGTATTTTATGTGATAGATTAAGGTCGAGTGCCAGTACATTATCGGGATATAAACGTTGAATATATTTTGAAATCTTCGCCTATATATTTTGTAAAGGTGCATTTATACCTTTGTCTTTTGACAAATAAAGAAATGTGAACTTCGACTGGGAAAATTCCTTCACGTAGAAAAAACCATTCATGTAAGCAACCTGCAATTATATTTCAAGTTCAAATGGTCAGCAAATGTCAGCAATGTGAGGCATTGAAGCCAGTAACACTGTACAATATTCAATTTCCACAGGAGCAAGCTTACCTTTTACGAACGCATCACTCGCTGTTTCTCGGATAGACTGACTGACTGACTGAGTATGGTTTTACGCCGCTTTTAGCAATATTCCAGCAATATCACGGCGGGGGACACCAGAAATGGGCTTCACACATTGTACCCATGTCGGGAATCGAACCCGGGTCTTCGGCGTTTCTCGGATAGAGCATACAGTGACTGAAGCCAAGGTAAGTGACTGACTTTGCTTACAATGAATAAGTGTAGTTTGCGCCGCATACGATTGCTTTTTGAGTCCTCATTTTGAATATATATGGTGTCGTTGCACGAGTGACTCTCATCGTTATGACCTCCTAGAGCTGATCCAAATCTTAGGAGCGCTTAATAAGTCCCTTTGGGTTACAAGTCAGATCGTGAAAGGCCTCGGATCGCCCAAGTGTCATATCATATATGTACAACCAACCTTCTAGACACTGTCCCATTCTGAAACCCCTGTTCATTCATACACAAAACCGGATAACCCTTAATTACTCTTGCTGCTACAGACAACTGAACACAGCATTCAATATTTGACGAGCGATTCAATCCGTGAGATTATCTCATTCAACCTAGTTCCAATGATATAGTTCCCGAATGTGTCATGCAAATATGAAGAAAATAGTTTTGTTCTGTATGTCCTGT